CCACTTTTTTTTTTTTCTTTTTTTTACAGAGACTCGACTTCGAGTTCTTACTCTACGACGACGTGAAACACGTACAATAATACAGGACAAGTTGGAACAAGCTTGACAATAATTTCCTAAGTAAACAGTGCATTAAGCGTAGCCACGCAGCTACCTGTGAAATGCGCAATTATGTTGATAAGTTTATAAATGGTAATAGTCATTTTCGGTGACTATGTTGATCTAGCGTTGATTTTTATTATTGTTTTTTTTTTCTCGAAAATCAAGGCACGTATGCATGGAGTATTTGCAAAGCGATAAAACCTCGGTGTAAATTTCTAACAGCTCGTGGCTACGATAACGTTATGGCATATAAACAAACACAGCGCGTGCAGTTGCAACCCCACGCTCTGTCAGTACGAAATTTACATTCTTCTCCCCTTTTACAGCCGACTTGGCGTAAAGAATCTCCACACGGAAGCGATAATGGCGCTGTGTCATTTATAGCTCTGCGCATGCGCGTTCTAGCTCTTGGTCGATGACAGCGCTATTACTTTTACAACTTCTTTTATTTAAACCAACTAATTTATTTAAATATAATTTCGTGGCTTACGTTTCTACGGAATTAATACGACACGAGTATAATTTGATCTTCTTCAACATTACTGACGTTCAGGAAACAAACTTATCAATACAATCAGTTCCAACTAGCAATCCATATTTACAACTTTTTGTCGTATAAAATTAATTTGCTTTTTCATTTTCTAAAATATATTGAAAGAGACATGTTCATTACTCACAGAAGAATCTCGTCAAGAATTAGTTTGCTTCAAACGCCGAGAAGAAGTAATAGTGGTTTCCATTTCTTCGATGATGAATCGCTGCGCATGACGCGATTTAAACGCGGTATGGACGATCGAAGAACGAGAAACTTCGACGTACACGCATAATGCGCGCGAAACGCAGAATCTTATCGATTTCGTCAGAGATTGCTCACACACGCACTTTAATGATACAACGGAAGCCAAAGAACAATCGGAAAGAAACGTTTAATTTATAATTTCTCGAGTTTCAATGGCTGGTCGTTCAAACCGCCGCACGCGTCGACCACGCCATCTTTTCCGAGGGAAGATGGCGCGTCGATCGCTGGCGAACAGCTGAGTGGCGAGTGGAATATCTGCGTAAGCGAAGCACACAGTAAGCAGACGTTCTGTCCTCCGTGCTCGACCAGACCTAGAATCGGCAGTGAACAGCTGGCGACGCGATGCGTCAGAGCAAAATGTCGACCGGGTCTGCGCCAAGCTAGTTGCCCCCTCCCCCTACCATTTCACTGTTTGGTACGGTGCAAGAGTTTAATAAAAGTAGACGTAGTCGGGCAAGCGGTCGGGGCATTCGTGGTGAAAATTCGACAGCGACACGAACAGACAGACAAGTGTCAACGAAGTGTCAGTACCTGA